TCGTGTTCACTTGCTTTGTGATGCCTTTGAAGCTTTGCCATGAGCCTCTCGCGCCAAGTCCGCGGCGCAAGTCATTCAGTCTCAAAAAACGGCTTGAAAATAACTAAAGCTCAACCTCTGGCCAACACATTGCCAGGCCGCCCTTGCGCCGTGCCTCGCAGCCCTCAGCCCTTCTTGGACTTGCCCCGCTTCCTGCGTGCCGCTTTGACGCTTCCCATGTCAAGACCCGTCGAGAGTTCGCGCCGAACAGGCACACTGAATGCTTGCCCAACTCGACGAAGGCAGCTCGGGAAGTCGGGAAACATCCCAGGCACGCCCACCTCTTCTTGCGCTGGACTGCATATCTGGCGTCTACTTTGCCGCCATCCTGAACATGCAAGGCCCTTAAAGCTATAAATCCGAGTAGCTGCAGTCAAGGCCGTGAGAATAATTGTCAGCAAACTTGCACACACTTGAAGTGGCCTCCGCATCCTCACTATCTTCATCCTCGCTAGCCTGACCAACAGTGATTCTCTGATAGATGGCTGTACTAGCCATGATTCATCGACATCGCAAATTCAGGAGGCAAAAAGAGTGCAAGGCCACATCTCACAAAGCTTCTTACAGAAACCAGGCCGAAAATTGGTGTTGTTCAGTCGAAACGTGCTGTAGTCTGTCCTGTCACACTTCGCCCCTAACACTGAGGCATCAGTTGTTGCCGCAAGAGGACATGGGAAAACTGGGTGGGCACCTGGCTTTTGTGGACGTGAGTGGGTGTCAGCTATACTCCAGCCAAGATCATGCTCAACAATCTGCCTCCCTCAAGCAGCTCCCATTCCAGCCTCCTCGTCATCGCCCTGTACAAAAGTCACAGACTATGCTACTTGTTTCTCGCAATGGGAAATCCTGCCATATATCATCCATACTCTGCACCACCGCTGACAGCATGAAAAACATGTTGGTTGGCCAGTTCGATGCATTTTCTCGCCCCACCAGCCTTGCCATTGATCTTCTTGAGGCGCGACCTTGAGCGGGTTGGAAAGGCACGTGCTCAAAGGCAGGCTCATGTTCTGATTCATGCAACGGCCAAGCACTTTGTCTTCCAAGTTCAAACTTGCGGCTGCGCGCCGTGAATCAGAACTGTTGGTCTTGCTTCCAGCGCAAAATTGGTGCCTCGCATCCTCTTGTCCACTTCCAGGGCTGTTTCTTTCATACTTGTTTCTCCAGTCTGACACCAAAACGAAGAATGCATTGGGAAAAAACTGTAAGAAAGCAGTCTCTAAATTGGAGATCAAACCCTTTTCCCCCCCCCATCTGAGTGCTTCCTTCTTGTTTGACGGGCTCCCCCCGCAGAGATCTCCCTGGGTCCGAGCTCGAACTGGGCGCCCGAGATCCGGCCCTTCCGCAACTTCTTGGCCAGGCGCTCCTGCCCGAACCGCCCCAAAGTGAGTCACAATCGAAACCCGGTAACATGGTTGATCCAGAACCATGTCAGGAAATGCAAGGGCGGCCGGGAGTTGTTTCTGGCTGGGATTGTCCCTTACAAACCTTCATCTTACCCAGGGTTTTGACTGTGGCTCAAGTTGCATACGTCACCTTGGGATACTTGTTTCCCGTTGTAACCCATCTTTCCGACTGCTGTATGCTCCATGGGGGCAGTCAGATTCTCTCACTGCCATTCACTCGCATGGATTTCGGTCTCTCGACATGCTCTCGCCTCGGCCGCCAAGCTGCTCCAGAGCTCCGCGCGGTCGCTGCGCTTGGCCTGGCGCTTCTGGGTCCTTGCGTCAACTCGGCGCTTTAGACTTATGAGATTCAAATGGGTGTGGGTCGAAAAACGGTACCCCAAATAGAAGCCTGGTAAATGGAACCAAGGACTAAAACCTGCGGTCCCCTGGTGGATAAATTTTGACCCATACCCAAATGAGACCTTGCTCTGTTTCGATTGGAGAGTGCTTGTCTTTGTCTCCAGTGGTAGAGCACACCCTCTGAACGATCCGTGAGTGTTGCCCAAGGCCCTGAGACCAGCTGAGCGTCCTGGTGCGCTCCTTCTCCGCTTTTGCGGCCTCCTGTCATCGATATGGTCGGATGCGCAGCTGCGGAGGTGATATTGACAACAGAAAACTCAGCAAGCCGCAAGCGGCGGCAACCAGCAAATACAGAACGGGCCTTGGCAGCTTCTTTCGCCTTGGCCAGCTGCGCCTTCTTCTCCGCCTCCCAGTTCTGCTCGCGCTCCTCCCGCTGCTTGGCCAGCGCTTCCTGGCCGCCGAAAACGGAAAACCCCGACCTCCGCGAGGAACGGCCCTTCGGCGCCTTCCGCAGCTTCTCCTGCGTCTTGTTGCGGAAGGGCACGGACGACGGGTCCACCTCAAGAGTTTCCAGAAAAGCTTCCGCTTCAACGGCTTCGCTGGCACACCGGCCTGGCTCTGCTTGAAGCCTCGCACCTGCTTGCCCAGGATCTCCTTGATGCGGGGCAGCCTCAGCAGGCAGTGGCCCGTGGCCAGCGCGCCCAGGTCCAAGTCCTTGAAGCAGAACAGGAAGGGCAGCTGATGCTCCTGGTAGGCGCGCACGAAGGAAAGGAAGGCCTTAGTGGACTTGAGCATCACTGCACGGTCCGTCTCCACCAGGCGCTGGCACCGCTTCAGCGTGGGGCCACCCAACTCCTCGGAAATGCACAGCTCCGGAGGAAGCGGCTCAATCTGAATGCCCCTCTTCTCCAGGAAGGGCAAATACCCGTCCTAGATCTGAAGAATCTGAAGCGGCTGTGATCAATTTTGGCAACGCACAAAAGCAATAAAGGGCCCCAACCCCACACCAAATGCCGTCCTCGTGTGGCATTAACGCCACCACCGCCCGGCCGCTTTGGCCTGCGCGCGCTGTCCGCCCAATGCGGTGCACGAAGGCTGCTGGGTCGGTGGGTGGATCCATCTGCACGATCCACTTCACTGCGTCCACGTCGATGCCCCGCGCCGCGACATCCGTGGCAAGCAGCACGGCCCCGTCTTCCGCGGGGCTCTTGCAGAACTTCTCGTAGGCACGACACCTCGCAGTGGGCTCCATCTGACCATGGAGCTTCTCAATACGGATGGCCTTCGGCTTCTTCAACCTCTTGTCAATGAGCTCTCGGAGTAAGACGTGAAAGTAGTCTGCAGTGGCACAGGTCAGGAAGAAGACGATGGTCTTACCGTTGCGAACCTCCTGTGCCTGCAAGAAGTGCCGCAAGAAGCCCAGCCGCTCCGTCGCGGGAAGTTGCACGTAGTAGTTGCTCAACCTCGTCGGCAACTCATGGCTCACTGCACTTCTCGGCTCTTTCTCCTCCTCCTCTTGCTCCTCTTGCTCTTTCTCATCAACCTTGCCATCCTTGATGGCCTCTGGACCCTTCTTCCGGTCCTTCAAGGCCTTTGCCGGCGCTTTGCCCTTCTCCTCCGGACGGCCGCGCTTCAGGCGCACGCAGACGTGCACGGGGTTCCGCATGCCCGCCTTCATGAGCCGCTGCAGCTCCGTCGTGAGCGTGGCGCTGAAGAGCCCCGTGCGCCGCTGCTTGGGCACTGTGGACAGCACAGACTCCACGTCTGTGGCGAAGCCCAGCTTCATGAGGCTGTCCGCCTGTAGGAGCATGACCCACAGGCGACAAAAATGCGACGTGAGGCATCCCACACCAAACACATCTCACCCAATATCATATATATATATATATACATATATATATATACATATATATATATATATATATATATTTATGTGTGTGTGCACATTTTTTTGTGGTACACATTCTGCGCCCACAGCACGCTTGAATCATCCCATCCCACCTCATCGAAAACCAGCAGCTCCAAGCTCTTCATGTTCAAGGGACTCTCTTGCAGTGCCAGCAGTGCCCGCAGCCTCCCTGGTGTGGCACAGACCAGGTGCAACTTCAGCCGCTCCTCGTCCTCCTCCGCCGCTGCGAGGCGCCGCAACGCCCCGGCCGCGGCCTTGGCCTCGGAGCCGCCGACGCACAGCTGGCGCCCCAGGCCACACGCGCTCGACCCGCTCGAATTGCTGGACCCGCAGTTTGCAGCGTCCAAGTAGGCGCCGAAGACCTCGTGGATCTGGGTAGCCAGCTCGCGGGTGGGCGCGATGATGGCAGCGCCCACCGCCAGGCACGGCGCGCCCGCCTTGCGGGACACGCCCTCGGCGTAGGCTTTGCTCATCAGCTCGAAGGTGGGAACCAAAAACGCCAAAGTCTTTCCCGAGCCCGTACAAGCCTGACACTGGGAAGGCTGACAAGGCTGGCATTCAAAGGCACATCGAGCAATAGAATTAAGTTACGATCTTAAACGGACCACCAGCCTCTCAGCCCACTGGCCCCAGAGTCACTCACAACGGCGCGGCCTCGACCGCCACGTCCCTCTGCTTCAGCAGCAGGGGAATGGAGATGGCTTGCACTGGCGTCATGCGTTTGAAGCCCATCTTCGCAATGAAGCGGCGAGTGCCCTGTGGGGACTCTCTTGCCCAAGCCCCATATACCCCCACCCTATTCAAACTAGTTTTGAACAGGTTCGAGTACTTCGATTATGGTTTGGAAAAACAAAACAAAACAAAACAAAAAAACAGCAGTAGCAGCAGCAGCAGCAGCAGCAGCAGTCAGCATTCCGCAGCTTGCCACAGCTTTCCGCTTGCTCCCGTTCGCCTGCCTCGGACACCTCCAACTTGGCCCAGTCCCGGGAAGCCATGGCTCCAAACTCTGCGAGCAGTGTGCGATGTCTCGGTTTGCCTGTGCTGAACTCGCCTTCCCATCGGGTCACAGGGAGACCGAAAGGTTCAATGCTCTAAAGGCTGTTCACACTTTGATGCATGATGCCGGATTGACATGTTATATGTTCCTGTGTCTTCCTTTGTTTCACTCATCTTCTCATCCTTCCAAACGACTCAGCCAGCAGGACGGACAAGACTCTGCGAAAAATTCCCATCCTTGCGACCCACCTTTAGAGGCTGATGGGTCCCCGGTCCCGGTGCCCTCGCTACCGACGCCACGTCAGCTCCTCCACGGGCTCCCCGTCCGCCCAGCCGCCGAAGGGCTGCAGGTGGCCCCGGACCTGCGCGCGACTCACCGGCCATGGGCTTTTCAAAAGCCAAATCGGAATTACCTCCCCGTGAACATCCGATTCAATCCAACCACTAAAATAGGTTCCAAAATGGGTGATGCAACTACCCCAAAATGGGATCCCATTGGTTTTGACCACCACCCACTTCTCTTGGGCATAGAAAGACTTACAAGTACAAAAGGAACAGGAAATAACGTCAAATAATAAGTGAGAAGGAAGTCCAAAACGAGATTAGTAATTCAAAAAAAAAAACAAAAAAAACATGGCGAACAAAATGACATGATATTGATCCAAAAGTAACTCCACGGGATGTGGATCAAGGGAATTCACTCCGGGTTTGATTGATGGCTCAGAAATGGAGGCCCGCGGGCATAGAAAAATTGGAAATTAAGCTCCCTGGTTCTATGTGGCTTGGTTCAGAGCCCAGAGGAAACTGTTGCATGAAAATATCCCGCAGAGAGACAGTAGCACATGTTCAGTACAATGCCGTGCTTTTCAAAAGCTCCTCGAACATCTACATGCTGACTTCACAGTGTACCTGGAAAGCAAAACCATTTCGCCGTCACTTCGCCCTTTGCGTTGGGACCACAGTTCCGGAGCCTCGGAAGCAGCATGCCAGACCTGAGCAAGGGCCATGCAGTGCTGGTTGCCCCACCACACCATGAAAAGGCTCAGCCTGCCCCAGAAGCAGCCCAACCAGACGCGTCATCCAAAAGCTGAAATGCCTGAACGCTTGTGCTTTGGTCTTGTGCAAGAACTGCAAACCAGGCTGAAGCAGCTAAGGGCCGAGTCCCTGCTGTTTCTGATGTTGCTCAGCATAGATTTAATGATTTTGCTCATGACTGCCTTGTGTTCAATGAGAGCAAGTGTCGTTTGAAATAATTCGAGACTCTTGCATATGCTACTGTATGTTCCTCTGAGCATCCTGAAGCCCAGTGAGTGCTGAGCCCATGTCCACAGCCCTTGCAAACAAGGCAGTGCGCAGCCACGTTGCAGCTGGCGCTCCACTTTTCCCGAGCTTCAAGCCAGGCGCACGGCTCCCTTTGGCCGGCTTTGGGCTTTGGCACCAGGCTTTCGCAGCGGTTGATCCAGACGCAAACCGTTATAGCCCCTCTCCCCCAGTGACGCGTGAAACATGTCCTGAAAGAGCTCCACATGATCAACCGCGAAACATACATTAACTTCCTGCCCCATGTTGCATCAGCCTCTCGCAGAGAAAGCGCCGACCTCGGTGCAACCTAATGTGAATGCCCAAATCTGTTTGTGGGATGTTCGGCAGGCGGAAGTCTGGACGAAGGAGCATCTGAAGCCTGGGGCCAGCACGCTGGCAGCGAGCCATTTGCCCACACGGCAGTACGGCCACGACCGGCTGCCCTCCGCCCTCCTGACGCGCCAGGGCGAAAATTGCGGGGCGTCCACCATGTCCCAATGATTAGTGAGAGTCGGCACAAGCTGGCGTTGGTAGGCACCTTCTGAGAAACCCTTCTGCGAAGCCCTTAGAAATGCTTCTGCGAGAACCAAAGCCATCAAAACGGGCCCAGAGCCTTCTGAGAAGCCCATGAAAAATATCCTAACGGGGAATGCTGCGAATCGGAATGGCCTTCTTAGAGCTTCGAAGAAGACCTCCATTAGCTTTGGCCTGAAAGACCCTTACCAGGGGCCGGGCCAGCCCTTTTCAGCATGCCAAACTATGGAAGAAAAGAGAGAAAATGAGATAGAGAGGGGGAGGGAATTAAAAAATGTCAAACTACATGCTTCACTTTGCACTCTTGTTGCATGTATGTTCACTACCGCAGGCCTTGAGCTTACTACTCCGCATGAGTCAAAAGATTGGCAGCTGCAGACTACATTGGTTGACTGTTTGTTTGAACACTACAGCACTTGCACTTGTAAGCAAAGTAACCACCGATTTTAACGTGGTAGCGGAGCTGAGATCCTAAACATAGGGGAGCTCCAGTAAGCAGTAAGTACTACAACCACAGCAACAGCAGCTACATGCCAAACTACTACGACATGTCAGGAGAAGCAGCATCAGCCTCAGCACAACAAACTACAGGAGCAGAGAACGGGCCAACAGCAGACACAGTAGGAGCCACGACTACGGGAGCAGGAACAGAACACAACGACGTTCAGAGACTACATAGATACAAACTGCCACCACCCTTCTTCACTGGTGACTACTCCCAGTATGAAGAATGGCTGTTCAAGCTACAAGCATACCTCGGCCTCATAGACCGAGACTTCGACCTGGTGCTACAACTAGCACAAGTGGCTACACGACAGATTGAGGACACAGACATCAGAACACACATACTCGACCCTACACAAGCAAGCAAAGCAGTAGACCTCTCCAGAGATCTACACTACATCCTCATCAACATCTGTCAGGGAGCAGCAGCTACAGTAGTAAGGCAAAACCGCTACAACGCAAACGGATGTGAAACACTACGACTACTGCACAACAGGTTCAGCCTACCAGTAGGAACAAGGAGCGTTGGTTACCTTACCAAACTACTGGAACCCACATTCAACGAAGCGCAGTTTGAAGAACAATTTCTACAATGGGAATACGACATCAACCGCTACGAGAAAGACAATGGAACAGCACTACCAGATGGAATCAAAATAGCAATACTACTCAACAAAACCAAAGGAGCACTGCAGCAACACCTCCAACTGCGAGCTGGACAGATCACGAACTACATCGAGATCAGAGCACTCATCCTGGACTACTACAAAACGATTTCAGCCTTCACTAGATCTACTTCAGCAGTAGGAACAAACTACAATGGAGGAACTGCACCAATGGATGTTGACAACATATGGAGGAAAGGAAGAAGCTACAAAGGCAAAGGAAAAGGAAAAGGCGGCTACAAAGGAAGCAAGAGCAAAGGCAAGTACAGGAGTAAAGGACACTACAAAGGATTCGACAAAGGCAGCAAAGGAAACTACAACAAAGCAGGATACAACAAGAGCAAAGGAAAAGGCTACTCAGGATCCAAAGGATATGGATCAAGCAAAGGCTACAAAGGCCAAGGAAACTACAGCAAATCAAAAGGAAAAGGAAGCAACAACTACACAACATGCCATCGATGTGGCAAGCCCGGCCACTGGGCACAAGACTGCAGAGTGCCGGTATGGCACATAGGAGAAGGAGAAGAACTACATCCACTAGAACAGAACAAGCAGATCACGACAACAATGATGAACTACCTCAGGATGTGAACGACACTTGGGACTGGTACTACGAAGGAGAAGAAGGACAACATGAGGTGAACTACATGGAGGAGAACTGGAACGACTACGACTATGACAACAGCTGGGATTGGAATGACAACAGCTATGAGGACACAGCGAACTACATTGGAGGCATCAACGAGTCACACCTCACCATTGGATACATCAGACAAGCAAAATCACGACTACACAAGCACAAATCCAAATCACTACTTGGCAAGAGAACAACACACACAACATCATGGAACGACCACAGCAAGAGCTTTCAACAATTCCTACAAGAAGACACCACAAAGCTACACTTCGACATAGCAGCAGCAAGACAACAACAAAGGAACAAGAAGATTGAGGACACTATCACCCACTACATCATGTACTCCAACTTCAAGTCATACCACCACCTGTTGATCGACTCAGGAGCATCTACACATGTTTGCCCAAAGGACTACGCACCGGATCTTCCACTACGACCCTGTGGAGAATCAGTTCCACAACTCTACACGGTGACCAACAAGAAGATTCCAGTCTACGGCATCAAGTACGTTCCCTACAAGCAGGACAACTTCAGGATCATGATACCCTACTACGTTTGTGATGTGAAGTATCCAATCCTCAGCGCATCAAGGCTACTTGATAGAGGATATGGACTTGACTTCACTCCACGACACTGCACCATCACACATGGACAACAACAAGCACACCTCATAAGACACTCAGGACTTTTCTACCTACGAGCAGAGAAGATTGACATTCCTACAGGATTCGACATCTACCCAATGACTACAGACAATGGAAAATCCATTGTGATTCAACCTACAGAGGCAGCAGCACAACAACAAGAACAAATCGCACCACTCACACACACAGACCAAGGACTACGACAGATCCTTGGTGGAAACACTGACTACTGGAAACTTGATGGTGACTACGCCATCAGAGTACACAAACGACCACGCAAAGCACTGTTCACACCACACAACAGTGGCTGCCCAATACCAGAAGGAGAACTAGATGATTGGAGACTAACCATCATCAACAGACAAGGGCAAGAGCAAGAACAACTACAAGAGAACCCAACACAACTTTCCAAGCAAGAACTACAACGAAGACTAGAAGGTGACAACTGGACTGGAGAAACCAGATTCAGAAGAAAGATAACACCTACACGCAGAGCAACATCAAAGACCACACCAACAAGGCAGAGCTCACAACCACAACGGCTAATGGACACACCACCAACCAGATCAAAGATCCAACTACGAGCACCACAAAAGATATGGAGACCCAAAGCAGCACCTTCTACAAATCTTGACACCACACAACCAAAGGAGACAATACACAGACCACTCACAGCACAGGAGGACAACCAAGACTACTGGGAAAGACAAGGTGAACACTGGATACGACACCACACAACGCTTAGAACAACTCTCTTCACTCCAACAGATGGACCAGGACATCCACCAATCAACACACTCGAACCTCACAGAACTACAATCACTCACAACAACTTTGGAGAAGTTTCACAACGCAAAGATGACTGGACAGTCATGGGCAACGCAGCACTACCATTTCAATGGAAAGGAACAACAAGGTTCACCGTGAAGAAAGACTACGAGTACATCCAGGAGAGCCACGATGAAGAACAACAGCACGAGCATCATGAAGCACACAGAGCAAGAGGACTACGACAACCACAGCAGCCCACTCCACAACAAATAGCAGAACACAACCTTACACATCTACCATACAGAAACTGGTGTCCAATTTGCGTTCAAGGCAAAGGACGCCAAGACAACTACAAGAAACAACAATCACGACAACCTGTCATTCAAGTAGACTTTGCCTACATCAAGTCACAACAAGACCCAAAGACCACACCGGTACTGACAGCAGTTGATGTTACTACACAACTGTGTATGGCAGTATTGGTTCCAGACAAATCATCAATGATGGACTACATGGTCAACAACCTACAAGCATTCATCTTTGAGTGCGGAAGAACACAAGGCATACTACAAAGCGACAACGAAGACACACTCAACGCACTTCTAAAATCTACAGCAGCAAAAGTCGGCACAATGAGTGTACGACATTCACCTTCCTACAGCAGCAACAGTCAAGGAAGCGTTGAGCGACTACTCGGACAAATCCGCGTCGTCAAAGCTCAGGTTGAAAGCAACTACAGCATGACGATGTCCACAAAGCACTGTCTACTACCTTGGATAGTACGACATGCAGCATGGACGGTAAATCGCTACGTCATTCACTCAGACGGCTACACAAGCTTTGAACGCCGCTGGGGAAGAAACTACGAGCGAGCAATCTGCGAATTTGGCGAGACACTACTCTACCTTCCACCACAACACAAGAAACTTCCGAAAGCAGACCTACGGATGCAGAAATGCATCTGGCTCGGAAAAGTTTCCGAAACCGGAGAAAACTACGTCGCAGCGGAATCAGGCGTACAAAAGGTACGAACAGTACGGAGACTACAACCGGACTTCAAATACGACCTCGCACTGTTGAACAAAGTCTCCGGCACACCATGGGCACCACGACGGAACACCTACAACCCATCGTTCGCAACACTGTTGGATACGCAACTACAACCGTCAGAGAAAAGAAGGTCGACGCAAGACTTCGGACAACAAACGAATGCGACGGACGACATCGTTGCGGAACCCGCAACAAAACAACAACGCACCACACCACCTCCACGACTTCCGTCCACATCGACGTCAAGTTCACGACCACTACCGGATAGTCCTATGGCTACTTCACCAACTGGACGACAACATCCACCACTACCAGCACCACCTCGACAAACACTACGACGTTTAACTCCGGAAGAAGTATGCAACCAACTAAAGCACAGAAGACCTCAAAGGACACTACAATCAGATCAACGGAACAAGCAACCAAAGAACCACCACCACTACGACAGAAAATCAACGCAGTGACACTTCCCAACGGAAAATCCATCACTCCCTACACAAACGACGACACCTCAGAAGACCAACCCATAATCTTCGACAACGAAGGTTACGACGAAACACAACTGCTGGAAGGAATGAAACACGAGTCAAACCAAATGAAACTACACGACGTCTACGACGAAGTAGATGCGTCTACCGTCAACGACAA